GCGGAAGTGCACACTAGATGCTGGCGTTTTGCATAATGATCAGGGCGCCGATAGTAATTTCCGCGCCCTCTTTTCTCACAGACACACCCTTCGCCACTTTTGTCCTGCCACTCCGTTCTCTCTCTCTCTCTCTCTCTCTCTCTCTCTCTCTCTCTCTGTCCACCTCCCACTTCCCTTTCTAAAGGGGTCTGTAAATATGTACAGACACATAGAGACATAAACGAACAGACATAAATGCACGTGTACACACACCCTCCTAGCTACAAACACAAATACGGACGCATACATACACACACACACACACACAAACACACACACACACACACACACACACACACACACACACACACACAAACAGATACACACACTCACATACGCACATATACACACTAACAAAGACAGACATGGAATTTCCACACAAAAATTAATTTTGAAAGAAGAAAACAAAGTACCAACAGCATTAAAAAGGACAGCAGACATCTTCTTCACTTTAACTTTTCACTAATCTTTGAGCGTCGTGGAAAGGGGAGCTGATGTGGTGTGATAGGGAATGAACGCAACAAACGAATCTGTAGTCTGTAGATTATTCTGGTTCCTGATCCAATAGATCCTCGTGCAGATGGCAAGAGATCGATGAAATCCCCTAACAAACCAGTCAAAATACGTCCAATTCCGTACTTAGGCAAAGACTTTTCCACACCGGAGTCCAAGCAGCTATCATCTGTTGGGGGTTCTGGTAACTGGTAAGTCCTGTCTTTATTGCTCCTTCTGTGTGTTGCTTCACCGAGGTGCCATTTTCTTTTTTCCTCACTTAATATTCAACATATTTTCGAACGAAAAGCAGACCGTCTTCTGACACTGTCACCCCCCCCCCCCGCCTTTTTTGATTTTTTGAATATCAGATTGTGCGAAACTCAGAAATGTATGTCTCTTTCGACTCATAGGTAGCCTAGTTCTGTTGTTTGTGGGACTGAAAAGAGTTAAAAAAGAAGAAACAAACTGGCTGAAAGCAGCTCTTTTTATTTAATTGTTTCGTGTCTACCTGTGGCTCACACAACAGCAATGTGGGAAGTCCCGGTTTTATGTCGTCTGCCTTCATGAAACGTCCATTTGCGTAAAGCCGACGAGACACAGTCTCAGCGTTTATGACATGTTCGCTCTTTTTCGGGAATAAATCCCACTGCAAGTGAGGGCTACTGTGGCTAATAAAAAACTTTTTACAGTTGCATGATAATAAAACAAAGGAGGAAATAACTCGCGTCCTATCTAAGTAGTAATTACCTGCCATCTCCTGTACCTTTTCTTCGAAAAAAGACACACGAAGAAGAAATACTATTTTCGATACCAAAAGTTAATACTAGTATCGATTCACTTAGATTATACAGTCTCTCTCTCTGTCTCTCTCTGTTTCTCTCTCTCTCTCTCTCTCTCTCTCTCTCTCTCTCTCTCTCTCTCTCTCTCTCTCTCTCTTTCTGTCTGTCTCTCTATCTATCTGTCTAGCTCGCTCCCTCCGATCATGATACAAAAATTCGCGTTCGAACCGGAGCATCATTTGAGGGGTTATTAGAGTTTATCTCCATCCACTGATGTGGATCTTTTAGGAGAAATGACGTTAAAGCAGAGAAGAGAGAACTTTTAGAGTTATACCTGTTCAGAGATCGCAAATAACAAGATTGTTCACTCAGCCAAAAATGCGTCCGCGGAAGTCCGCGCATTGCTTCAGATGGCGCTGCAGTCTCTGTTGAAGCTGAAGAATAGGAATAACATAACACCCGCGCAGATCGAGTGCTGTTTGTCGGTCTAAAATCAGCTGTGAGGAGTTTGGGTTTTTAAATTTTGATTTAAATGACCTCTTCCATCTCATTCTAAAGTCAAGTTAAACGAAAAAACAACAACAAAACAGTCGCCCCTTCCTCCCGAACAGGCTTTTGGTCAGCGTGACCATTTGAAAAAGTGGTTCTTCAGAAATTTGAATTCTAACTTACTCTAAAAGTTATTAGTTTCACTTCTATTTTTTTCACACAAGAAGGGTAACTCTGTTCGCTAAGCGGGCGCTTTTTCGAAGAGGGCGCCACCGATTTTGAGGACACCAAAGAGAGGAGCGAACCATCTTGTTATGAGCGATCTTTGTCTGTTTCAGAGAATACTATTGTTCATGTCATTTATGAGTTAACATCGGTACTTACAGGTTCTTCAGCAATGTAGAACTCTTCAACGTCTTGCGTCCCACAAACTGGATGCTGTTATAGCTCAGATCCCTGCAGAATAAAAGAAAATAAATTCTGATTAGTCTTTAATTGTTGATATTTAATTGGAAAAGAGGGAAGTAAGAAAGAAAGAGAGAGAGAGAGA